GGGCGTATTCGCATTGGTGTTATGCTATTCAATTATCGCTAGCTTGATACGCTAACTTCACGCAAAGTTTTCTTCGTACGTTACCTGGAAATTTACCCTCCCACCCTCATCCTGGTAAGTATAGGAGAAAGTATTTTCCACTGACTTGTCAGTGTGACGGTGCTAGGTGTAGGGGTGGGACAGGGTTGCCATGGTAACCATTGTATTTCGTTTCGTATGCCGGGGTTACCGTGGTAATCATTATGTTCCGTTCCGCTGGGCTGGTTGCCATGGTAACCATTAGGTCGGCGGGAGTTACCATGGAAACCTTGGGTTGTGCTGTGATCTTCTCACCTCCCACCTAATAAGCACCAAAGCCAAGCTCATCTACTGGTAATGAGTTTCAACTTCTTTTCACGCTAAGATAGCTTTCAAATCAAGCAAACTCGATCTAAATCAAATCAACAACATTTTGAGGGTTATTCGAGCATATTATAGGGCACTTGAATGAAAAATTCAAATTTTTATTATTATCTAGAATATGTAGATATATTTTTCTATGTTAGCGGCCAAAGTTTCTTCAAAAAGCAGATATTATGAAATGACAATTTGCAAAACACTTTGTATGGGATCTAGTCTTCGTACATGTTAGAAGACATGTTTAACTATTTATGATAAGTAATGCCTCCAGCCGGACTGAATACATTATAAAATTAAATTGAAATTCTGATCTCATTGAACAAAACATACGAAAAAAATATATTGATAAATTGATATTGATAAATTTTGTTAGACACAATTAGCATGGCCTTTTGGTCATAGTTCTGGCATAAGCTAGGTGAGTTTTATTTCTTAGGGTGTAAAGCGCCGTTTACACGAGCAACCTTTCCTTGACACGTTTTCCTTGACAAGGAAAAATTGCTCGTATAAATTGGGTAAAATTGACAATTTTTCCTTGTCAAGGAAAAGCCAACATGTTCGCTTTTCCTTATGACAAGGAAAAATTGTCAAGGACGAAATTTGCTCGTGTAAATGGACAACAAGGGAAATGTGGCAAGGAAAAATTGTCAAGGACGAAATTTGCTCGTGTAAATGGACAACAAAGTAAATGTGGCAAGGAAAAATTGTCAAGGAAAACTTGTTGACCATTCACACGGGCAATTTTTCCTTGTCAAGAAACTAGTCAAGGAGAAATTGCTTAATTTAAGCAATTTAAGTATGCAGGGCTGACACGTACCCTTGTTTGTTGTTGTAAATGTTGTGAAATCATTAGTAAATGAGGCCTTAATGACCTTAATGATTCAAAATAAAAAGTGATTTAATCCTTCGAGCCTTGCCAAGATATGATTTTTGCGATAAGCTTATATATGTTGTGGATCTTAAAATTTCAGCTGTGCACGCCTTTGTGCATTCTTCGCGGCGAAGAACGGAGAGATTTTCACAGAGAGAAACCTATTAATTTGAGTCACATGCTGTCAATTAACGCTTCAATATGTAAACTTTTCAAATTAATCAACGAAGGTCATCAATAATTTAAAAGTCGGGATGCCGTTTTTTGCATTCGATTGCACCGATTCCTTGGAAAGGCGTCCGGTAATTTCACAGCCAAACAGACTTAAATTGCAGTTTCTTAGGCAGCAAGATCGCCAATTTTGCGTTTCAGACAATCCGGAAAGATCGAACTCTGTATATGTAAGTACATCAAATATAGCTGACTTAATTAAATTTTTTTACAAGTAATTAATACTTTTGGAAAACGTTGTCCGTGATGAATTTTCAAATACAAAATTCGTATGAATAGAATTTCAAAACTAAATCGGTGTAAAAAAAAAACGTTTCCAACAATTTAAACTATAAGTGTAATTCCACGGCTTGCAAGACCCCTTGCAATATGTATCTGTCACGGTCTGAAAAGTTCTATAATTAAAAGGATCGGCTTTTAAGACTAGCAAACATACATAGAGATTACAGCAATACCTAGTACAGGACAATAGTAATAATTCAATCGAAGAACTCTTAGGAGCTGCAGCTATATCAACCTTTTTTCTAATCGAATGAAAGCTTGCTCAGCGTCAAAAAACACTGAAGGGTCAAAACTTTCATTAGTGAACTGAAGAGGTTTTTAAACGAAACTAGTTTTCACAAAATTTATCGTTTATTCCGTAAGTTTTAGACTTGTAATAAGGGTATTTTCCTTAAACATATATTTATGCAATTATTCATCGCTGATTAAAACATTCTTTGAATAGTGCGATAGCCGAAAGTGTCTGCATTATAATGGATCAAGAGAAAATGAGGTAAGAGAAGGAATCCCTGGTACTGCGTTCTTAACCCATCATATCAGCCCTTCGTTCTATTTTTAGAAAAAGAGCTATTTTTAGAAATGGAACATGATTGGTCAGATCGTCAGATCCTTTCGTGTTGAATCTGCAAATGTAAATTATGCGTTTTATAAATTATCTATTCCAGGTTAAATATTACTGCTCGAGAGGTCAGAGAATTCAAAGGTCAGATTATCGAAGCTGATTCTTCTTCGACACTTTCAAGTTTTCTTTGTTTTGAAGAAGATTCCTTTTCTTCTTCAAAAAGTTTCCTTTTTAAAAGCGAATTTCGTAGCTTTAATTTTCTCGAACAGTATTTGACATTCAGTTTTTGGCGATGAACAATAGCCGATATCAAATTCCGACAAACGGGTAGTGGTCGCGCGGGTTTGGTAACAAACTAAAAATAGCTCTTTTTCTAAAAATAGAACGAAGGGCTGATATGATGGGTAACAGGGATTCCTTCTCTTACCTCATTTTCTCTTGAATGGATATATCACGCTGAAATCATCCCTATCGCCAAAATACCCAAAAAGAAACATAATGATCATGGTCAAGAGATTTTTGTTGTTGTTTTCAATTTCAAGTTGGCCTGAGAAACATTTTAAATCAATTTGTACAGGAAATCGCACGACCTTGAGTACAATTTGGAATTAATAGTCACGAGTAATGTTTTGAAAGTTCTCGTAATTTGAGTGACTATTAATTCCAAATTGTACGAGAGGTTGTGCGATTTTTTGTTTATAGTACATTCAACTTAATTAACGCTGTAATTGTACTCCTCTCGACCAATCAGAATGTATTGTTTTGTTGAATGTACTATAATAATTGTAATTTGAATTTTACAAGAAGTAATTTTACGCCATAATTGTTGTATTTCTCGGACAACTACGACTTTTAATCGTTCCAAATGTTTATTTCATACGAAATGTTTTTATATTATTGTGGGCTTTTGCAAGTAGTTTTATTAACGAAGTCATGCCTTATAACAGGAGTGACGCACTCTTGAAGTCGTAAAATGTTCAAAAACTCTAGGGGACCCCACGATCGCAGAACAAAAAGGCATGTGCAATTTTTTACCATATTCCAAATCTAAAAATTAGCGAAAATCATTCTTTTCTTTCAAATAAGCGCGAGAGAGAATTTATGACACCAGTGTGATTAAAAAGAAAACTGTAAATTTGAAGATACCCTTGCCTATATCTATGATATATTTCTATTGATAGAGTTTCAATATATCCATGAAAGGGTTTTCAACTAATTTAGGCAAGTTAGTGTGAGATCCTTTGTCTTCTATCGTTTAATGGAAACTAGCGGTAAAGAAGTGTGAAATGAGTCGGTGTTTCTAAAGAAACAGTTATGTCATGTTGTGTAAAAAGATAAATTTAACACCGGAAAAAGCAGGTGAAATAACTTACTGAAGTTTTGGACGTCAATACTTCGTCAATTAAGTTGTTTCACCTATTATATATTTTTAAGTCACTAAATTTGTCTTTGTGTACAACTGTACCGTTTAAATGATACATAGAGGATATAGCACGCTACGGCGAAGATATGAAGATTATTTTCGAATGATGAAAACAATATTTTAATATTTACAATATGGTTGTGCAATTTGATTCACGCGTGGTATTTATCCCAAATACCACTACAAAACATGCTATTGCCTATACATATAATATTTTAATTTTTACTAAATCTTAATTCAATGCAAAGAATATTCTAATACAAATTAACGTGCTGAAGTCACACAACTAAATAAAATTCAGCAAATATTGATATAAGAATAAATAAAAAAATGTTTTTTTTATTTCTTCATTAATTTAAGCTTGCTGACTTTGGCTCTCTTTGCTAGAAGATTCTGTAGGAGAAATTTGAGATTCAGAATCATCGGCATCATCGTAATCTCTTTTCACGCCAAGAGGAGCACACATTAAAATATTTACATTAACGTTTTAGTTTGCTCTCGCGTACCTCAAATCGTACGTGTAAGCAGATTGCGATTGTCTCTGCGATCGTCATGCGACCATCGCCAGAGTTTCGTACATGCTTTAATATTTAGCTGCAACTTCGCGCCGATTTGGTACAGAATGTRCCATCCCTACCAGACTGAGGAACGCGCTGTAACAATCGCGAGTGCATGAAACGGGCCCTTTAAGAATCTGTTGTGTAGAAAGATAAATCTAACATGATCTAATAAAAAAGTAGGTGAAATAACTTACTGACGTTTCGGACGTTWATCCTTCGTCGGAGTAAAGAGCAAAAGGCTTAACGTCCGAAAGGATTAACGCAAATGGATTAACAGTATAACTGTACATGTAAATATCAAGACCTATCAAGCCGAAGTGGAATGTTTCATCTCATGAATTTTGATGTACGATGATTGAAAAGACTTTTTGACCAACCAAACAACTCCTTTTCATTTGGTGTATTCGAAAATATCGCACCCAAAAATGTTTGAGATACCTTGGACATCTAAACTAGAAATTATTGTTCGGCGAACCAGCATTTTGCCACCATTACTCTCGCTTGATGTGGGTGCGAAGTTTGAAACTGCAGGCTTGAAGCTTCAAAAATGCTGGTTTTRGTTGGTGCTTTGAGAAATAGACCTTAAACAGTGTCTGAAACTTTTGCATGATTTAAAATAGTCTACAAACCATTCATCGTTTTATTTCATTTTAGAACTCACTGAGGTGAAATATGTTGTCAATCTTGGCTGCTGGCATTGCGTTATTTTGTCTTTTAAACAAGATCTACGCGAACTCCGATGAATGTCAAAGACGAATAGACTTTGATGCCAGCAGGGATATGGTAGCANCAAATACAGGTAATCCCATTTATCATCACACGAAAACATATTTGTCATATTAGTGGCTCCTGATTAGAGTTTTGATCGGAGAATGTACGACCGAAAGATCACAATCCATGCATGGATATATCAGAGGCTGATCCAGAATTTTTCATGAAAAGGGAGACTTTGATTTTTATGGCATCTACTTTCTAAGTATTGAAAGAAACGAGATCTGAGATATCCGAATCATATAGAGCAGTACTAATTATACTAAAAACGCACTTCGTTATTGAACACCATTATTAAACAAATTGTGGTTATTTTTGAAAGATTGCTGAATTATGAAAAAAAGGTAATTTCCTCCAAAAGTCAACATGCTTCTYTACAACTCAGTAGTATTTTTATAATTTTTTTGGAARTCTTCTTGAAATTGATCATGGCAAGTTGTCATCCTYGGCAAAATCCACTTACAACATGGCGGTCGTCGAATAATAATAATGATTCATTATTCTTTTCGATCTTTTCAGGTTGTCAAAAGGACGTATGGAGTTGATCGCAAAGAATTCCACTCATGTTAGAGCAACATGTAACATGAACATCAAGTATTCAACAAAAGATTACATTCGAGCGAATTTACAAGGATTCCCATTATTCCAACAATTTAGACAAAGGTGCCTCACTTACGAGTACGTGAATATTCTTGGGAAGAGCTGCTCGAAATGCACCACGGGTACATGGCAGGTTGCGAACGAACATTTTCATCTTAACCCAGGGTACAATGCGGGTTGNGAATGATTAGCCATTCTTTTATCATCTAGAGTGAAGAATTCGATTTTCTGAAACACACATGTCCTAAGTCAACCTGCCTCAGAACAAAATGTCCCATCCATACGACCTGCCAAGAAATGTGCCAGCCACGTTATAAACGCTACATATGCAAATGTCCAACAGRCAGTTCATACAACTGTGAAAATCTACCACGAACATGCAATGACTTAAGGAAAAGTCTTGGTTTTGTACCTTCTGATGGGAAATACTTTGTGTATGACGAACAAGACAAGCTATTCCAGGTCTACTGTGATTTCAGCAGCGAGCCTGGTTTTGCGTACACGCTGATTACGTCTTTCTCTTTTGGTAACAAAGCTATTTTCAGGACTCTGGGATTCTATACTGACTCTCCTTTTGAACAAAGCTCAGTGAATTGGATCAAATACAGGTAATCCCATTTATCATCACACGAAAACATATTTGTCATATTAGTGGCTCCTGATTAGAGTTTTGATCGGAGAATGTACGACCGAAAGATCACAATCCATGCATGKATATATCAGAGGCTGATCCAGAATTTTTCATGAAAAGGGAGACTTTGATTTTTATGGCATCTACTTTCTAAGTATTGAAAGAAACGAGATCTGAGATATCCGAATCATATAGAGCAGTACTAATTATACTAAAAACGCACTTCGTTATTGAACACCATTATTAAACAAATTGTGGTTATTTTTGAAAGATTGCTGAATTATGAAAAAAAGGTAATTTCCTCCAAAAGTCAACATGCTTCTYTACAACTCAGTAGTATTTTTATAATTTTTTTGGAARTCTTCTTGAAATTGATCATGGCAAGTTGTCATCCTYGGCAAAATCCACTTACAACATGGCGGTCGTCGAATAATAATAATGATTCATTATTCTTTTCGATCTTTTCAGGTTGTCAAAAGGACGTATGGAGTTGATCGCAAAGAATTCCACTCATGTTAGAGCAACATGTAACATGAACATCAAGTATTCAACAAAAGATTACATTCGAGCGAATTTACAAGGATTCCCATTATTCCAACAATTTAGACAAAGGTGCCTCACTTA